ACTGTTTGTCCTTCAGGGACGAATTCATGATGCACCACACCACGAATATCGAAGAAAACAATCAGCATTGCCTTGATTTTCGAGCGACTTTGGCGTGGTTTTTTCGGTTTCGGCTCGTCTTTTCCTCTCCATTCCGATGATTGTTGGCTTGTTTGCATGTCGTACTCGTAGACCCATGTCTCGTCACCCGTTATGATGCGTTCCATGAAAGTTGGATCGGAATTGGCACGATCAAGCATGTCTAACGAGACCTGTCCACGATGGTGTTTTTGGAACAAATTGAGGTGAATCGGAAAAAGCCGAGCGTTGACACGTCGCATACACAAATTGTCCACCAAAATCAAACGAGCCATCTCACGACCGATGCCTAGCTCTCGTGCTATCTCTCTAACACTCACATGAGGATTTTTGAACACGATTTCCTTTGCCTTTTCAATGTTTTCGTCGGGGGTAGAGGTCGAAGGTCGTCCAGAACGCGGCATGTCTTCGACGGTCGTACGACCGTCCTGAAAGGCTTTGTACCACTCATAAACTTGAGTTTTCGATAAAACTGATTCCCCATAAGCCTTTTGTAGCATTCGCAAAGATTCTGCACACGAAATTTCGTTCGAAACACAAAATTTGATGCAAACTCTTTGTTCAATATTTTTTTCCATTGTTTTTTTCGCAACGCACTACTGAGGTGAACTGGTTTAAACAGCTGCCGTAAACGAACTGTCTGACAGATCGCGCTCATTTTTGGCATAGTAATTGTCCTTAATTGCTGCCAAACTACATAAACTTAAAATATCGAAGAATATACAGCGCGCGAATTTTAAATGAGAATTTCCGGAAACTTTTCGGTCACAATGTATATTCGTTAGGGGCTATTTCATTCAGAAGCTGCCTTAATGGTTGTATATTAATCACTCCTGCAACAAATATTGGGGGAGGCTTTGAGATTATAATTTTTTCATTTTGCTCGTTGGGCTTTTCTGATGAATGAGAGTCTTCATCTAGCACGGAATATCGGTTAGAGTTTTTTTTGGGTTCAGTTGACAACCAATAGGTATCCACCTTCTTTTGTTTGATATATGATCTTTGTCGAGCTCCTTGGGGACTTGAACGACTTCTTTTTGACGTTGCCATTCTGGTTGTGTAGTTTCACCAGGGATTTTTCTACGAATAGAAGTGTTTGTTGGCGTGATTTTGACGCTTCTGACCGATTGAGTGTCGCTTTCTTCATCACCAGTATATTTCCACTTTTTTTTGGTTCAAATTGGTGTTGTTTGCGTTTTTTGATGAGAAACTTGTTGAATTATTAATTAATTTTATTTTGTTAGCTATAGCTACTGACTATTTTTTGATATATTTCCTTCAGTAAATGCTTTATGTAAAGGTTTGGTTCTGGATTGTTCATTTATTTTAACGTCTTCTGTACTTAGCATTATATAGCCATTTAAGCCATTTTCACTAATATGAGAATGCCGTCGTATAACTTTTTCACAATCGCTCATATAATAGTCAATATATTTGCAGTTTGTTCATTTAATTATTTAAAATTTTATATTTATAATTAAATAAAATTTATTTTTATTCAAGTTTTTTAAAAACACTTGAAACTTATACTGTGGCAACACCACATTTACTTTAGCGTTTAAAATCGGGCACCATTTTTGATAATTTTATTTTATTTATGATCAATAGCTCGATTGTTCATACATTGAAATATAAAATTAACTTTTTCCTATTAAAAAAAACAAAACAATAAAATAGTTGCGGTGTGATCGCCTTTTGCGTCGACCCAAATTTTGCGCTAAAATATAGGCTCACAAACTAAACGAATGACCCTGTAAATTACATAATTAAATAAATATTTTTTTATAACGAACCCTGGTATATTCGCTGAGTATACCCCAGCTGTAGATAGGGCCGGAAAAGGTCGTTACAAGATTTAAACTGAATGAATTAAACAAGAATACATGAATATGTGATTACTCATAGCTACCTCAAATATTCTAAAGAAATTTCAATAAGCAGTTGTATGAGAAAGTAATGCTTATTTAATGATAGTACAAGAGTTTACACTCGATTTTTTTTTCCAATAAGGATGATTTAGGTGAAGTTCCATGCGTTAGGGAACATTGATTTTATATTTTTTTCAGGAGACATATTATATTGAAATATAGTTTTAAAAATTTTATAGGAAAACAGTGTCAGTGTTGAAAACAAATTATTTAATTAATTAATAACGCACTTAGGTCTAAATAACCCCATAGACTTAGCACAATCGAGTACATGGTAGCGCACCCAAATTATTGCCAATAGACGAAACAAAAAACCATTTAAGATAGTAGGATTTACAAATAAAATTTTTTATTATTCCTAAAGATTTTATATTAAGAGGAAATTTGGACTAAAAGAAAGTTGATTTTTGTAATGGCTTACTTAACGAATAAATTTATTTATTTTTACTCAACACATTATAATTTGAACATAAGGTGTTGAGCGTGGCAATTTCAATGCTTTTTTTATTTGTATATTGCTGAAATAGGATGAATGTTTGGTATTTTTCATGGGTTGTAGTAGTACTATATTTTCTCTACATGCTGTGTTATTATTTCTGTTTCTTATTGTGTACCTAACAAATTCTCACCACTACAACTGGTAGCAGAAATTTCAACAAATATCTGTCTATATTCATCTATCTAATATTTAATATTAATAATTTTTATCTAATATTATTTATAACTATAAATCATCCGAAAGGGAAAGAAATAGTAAGAATTCAATTTGTAAACCGCATTATTTAATTCAATTCCTTAAGCCAAATGTATTTCATCAGTTATGGCAATTATGGATTCACTGCACAGTTTTATCTACACAAAAAATAGAACCACAATTTTTGTACTTTCTATTCGTTTTCCTACATTTCCATTCAACCAGATTGAGTCCCACCAACGCGTTACTAGGTTTTATGATACAATAAATAGTCTGAATGTAGTTTATTTCTCTTTTCAAATATTCAGGCAAACAATCAAGACAGTTAATTTTTTTGAGACGTGGATTTACAATTTTTTATTAAAACACATCAACCATCACAAATATAAATATCTGAGTTGTTTTTAGAGGGAAAGCGATACGAAGATTTTTTATAATCGTAAATGTTATATGCAATTGTTTAAATATTTTAACAAGCATTAAAATGCCAATTTTGGTTGTTTTGATAATACAACCAAGTTGTATTGACAGACGAGCGCACTAAATTATCATTAAGCAGCCTTAAATGATCATTTTAAAAATACCCTGACAGACGGTATAAATTATCATTAAGAAGTTGCTGTATCATATGTTTTTTGTTATTGAAAAAGCAAAAGAAAAAATTTTAAATTCAAAATGGATAAGCAAGAAAAATTAAAGAAACTTGCTTTAATTAAATATAAAATATATAAAAAAAATATAAAATATATAAAAATATATCGAGTATTTGTATTTACCAATGTTTCCAAATATGTTTTGTTTACATTTTGACAACCAAATAGCTTGAAATTTGTTCCATTTTTTATTTTATTTCGCTTGCATATGCAGCATTACCATTTCTAAAAACCTAAATGATGAATAAATTGGGTTAAATTCGGTCATTTAAAGACCATAAATGATCATTTAAAACTGCTAAAGGAGCAAATAAATTATAATTTAGCCCCTTAATGATAATTTAGCTCCCGTCTGACAATGCTATAAACCTACAATGTATTAAAGTAAAAACTTTACTGAATCTTAATTTGTAGTAAATTAATTTAATTGATTCGAAAAATAATTCTGAAAATACTGACATTTTGTTCCTTGCAAAAAAAACTTATTTAATTAAATAAAAAATAGAATGCATGAAAAATTCACGTATGCGCACTTGAAAAAAAAAATGGAATTAACACAAAAAAGCCTATAAACCTTGATCACCAGACTAATAGACATGAAATTCAAGTTATTGAAATTGGTATATAATTGTTTTCATAACTGGAGTTTAAAATAAAGATGTTTTTAAGAACCAGCATTTTTTTGGTATAAGTATCTTTGACATGCTTTTATTTATGTATTACTTTTTGAAAAAACTTTTAACTGAATTCTTGTTATAGTCGTTTGCTGCTAAACATTCAGAGGCTGATATTCTTCTTGCTGATGTAACGAATAAATATTTTTATTACACTCGCACTCGAGGATTATTTCGGATCTGTTTTCCAAAAGAGAGACCACCAGTTAGTACAGGTATTAATACTCATAAAATTTATATATACTCGTGATATGTTTTATATTGGTTGTTGAAGAAACGAAAAAAATTCTATGCTTGCGGATCTACTATAACAACATTAGGTATTCAATTAAAGGATATTTAATGAATTAAAAATTAGTACACATTGTTCCAGAATCAGCGTCGAGATATATTAAATGCTGTTTGACTAAAGATGTTCGATTGCGTGATTTTTTGATTCCCTGTTTCTTGCTAAATATCAAATATGGGTTACCACGCGTAGAATATTTTTCATTTCTTTGAGCAACGAATCACTTCTGAAATACCATTACTTCAATTGATTCAAAACATTTAAAAAATTTTAGTACCTACATATTTATCACCAATTGAAACACACTGCTCAAATATTGATTATTTTCCTGTACTGGATGACGATAAACTTTCGAATGAAGATGCTACATCAAGGTTACATCTAGCTAGATCTTGTGTTGCTCTATATATTATAAGGTTACATTTGAAAAAAAATTTAGTTCATAGGCTAATTTTAATTGTTTTATTAGTTTCTTAACATTATTTTGTGCATTTTGGACGGGACTTTCTGGATGCTGGAAAAGGTCATCTGGAGCAATTACAGCAACGTCAATATTGCTATTAGCATCTTGTCTACTTGCGGCTGGTGCAATGGGCTTATGGCATACTGTGGAATTTTTTGAAAGAGAAAAGGTTGTCGGCGAAGATTTTTTTCAACAATGGAATACGGTAAAATAAATTGAGAGACTTGATTTATATGTAAAGTTGATATTCATTTAACTATTTTCTATTGTAATCGGTTAGGTTTTAAAAGATAATACCAAAATTGTGTACGATTGGTCTTATGCAGTGGCATGGGCTGGAATAGCAACATGTCTTCTCGCTGCTATTTTACTTTCTGGAGCTGCTGTATGCCTACGAAATGAACGTGAAAAAGAAGAGCAATTAAACTTACAGTACTTGATGCCAGGTAATATTAAATAATTAGCGTTTTAGTGTAATATATATTAAAATATATAAGATTAGGCAATAATATATTCACAATATAACATTTAATAATTCATTAACAAAATAACATATTAAACAAATTATTAAATTAAATTAATAATTTATATATAAGTTTAATATTATATCAATATAGAATAAATACAACTTTTCACATACATATGTATATCTTATAACATCAAACCAACTTTTTTCAAACAAAAGAGTTTGTACTTGGAAACATACATGTTTATGCAGTGATCAAACACAATCGAACACACTTGCAACGCATAAATGTGCTACCTGGTACTCCGCACACAAAGCGGTTATTATTCGATGGAGCAACAGCTAAAAGGGGAGAGACGAAATTTGAAAGAAATGTGTGGTGATGTGAGCTGCAAACTTTAGCCGCACATCTAACCGCTTCGGCAAGTCAACATGTTGAATTGTTATACATGCAGTTGATATTCGAATAGAACAGAAAATTACTCTCATACAATTCCCAATCTCTATTTCTCATATTTCAAGCTAGAGCACACGCACATTATTTTGTTCATTCTACTTTTGTGCACACTTATGACAGAAATTTATGAATGCAAATGCGTAAAGGGGAAAGACGAAATATGATAGAAATGTTTTGCGATGTGAGCTGCAAACTTATGAACACAACCAACGACTATTGTAGCTAAGAGAAGCAAATTAATTGAGTTTTCATAGACAATTATATTTAATTGTTTTTGCTAAAACTTTAATCTTTAAATATATATATATGAAAATGTAATTAATAATATTAATTCTGGATGCAAAGATATTTAATAAATTTATGTATATAATTTAACAATTTGCAAGTTATGTTAGGGTGTGCACCGCACACCTCCGCACCTTAGAGCAGTCGTCATTGTAATATATGTATATATATTCTTTATATATTTGTGTATAATATTGTTACGAATTTGCCCTTTTTTTAATTCGTTACTGATTCTCCCGTTCGTCTCACTGGATTATCAAGAATTCCACAAATGCCAAAAATAAACTCTTCAGTTTATTTGTTAACAAGTCCGCCTACTTTATTGTGTATCCACGCTGTTATCTCGTACAAAATAACCGAAACTATAACTCGAACTTAAATCTACGAACTCAAACTGCCAACTAAGGGTCTTCTTACGTAGAGTGTCTCGGGCACGGCAAAATTCGCTCTTTCGGGCTTTCCCAAAAATGCATGTTATGCAGAGTCTCACATCAGTATTGCCAATTTTGTATTTTTACTACTTCTTGGTTGTGCCTAAATTTAAAATTTGCCACCAAAAATAACTAGCAAGAAAAAACTAATAGAGGACGTAATAATGTTAATTTTTTATTATATTATCTTATAATAATTGTTAACAGTACTTACTCCTTTCTTTAAAATCGGGAAGTGTAATAATTATATTATTAGCGATTTAAAAAAAAAGGCTGTGTTGCTTTCTGCCATTTTTTCTCCAAAATGTATTAGAATTGTAGTAATTTGCTCCAAAAAGGCGCAAATTTTGAAATTTATTACTAAACAACACTGTTTTGCCTTAGTGCCGGGGCACAAATACGCCGGCTCTCATCCCGGAGTTTGAACGGCCATATTGTTTTTCTCTCATTGTCAAATTTGAAATTTGCATTGAAAACAACAACAATTGTACTCATGCCGTGCCCGAGACCTTCTGCATAACAGGGGCCTAACTAGCCAAACTTCTATTTCTGACAGAATACCCTAACATTAGTTTTCGTTATTCCTGTCAGTTTTTCCGTGTTGCTACGATTTGACATTTCTCAAACCAAATTCGTTACAATATGTAAATTCTTTGTATATTTATGTATAATATTCTTGCGTACGTTTTACAACTCGACGTGGTCGTTCGCGATCGCTGGATCCCGATAAGTAATTAAATAGTTGATTCAAGTTTTATGTAACCGTTTTCTATTGCTTTTAATTTTGTTGGAATTTCCAATGTTCATAATAGTTCGCTTATTGCGTTGGAAACACTTTTTTCGTTACAAGTCGAGTTGTGTAGCCAGTATACAACTACTGGCCTAGATAGAGAAAGTAGTTTTATTTTGCGTACATTTCTGCCAGTATAGGGCAGCAACTTGCTGGATTTTGTCATACTTGCGACCCACCGAAAACGTCTATTATAATTTTAAAGTTTGTGTTTATGAATACAAAGAGTAAAAAATTTTTGATTTGTTTCAGGCTTTAGCTAATGTACTGTTCATGTAGTGTTTTTTTAACAAAAGTGCACTATGTTTGGTATTTTACCAAACAAATTTTGAAAATATTTTTAAGCTCAATTTAAAAACAATGCATTCATGTTCGATGTACGAAGTTTTCGAAGAATCCGATTAATCGGATATCAAACGAAGTCTCCGAAGTTGAAAAAACAAAAGATTTTTTCTGAGTCCGAAGTCTTCGAATATCCGAATCTGCCATTATTATTCGTAGTGCAAGTTTTCGAAAACTTCGGGGGCGAAACTTGAAGGGAAAGTACAAAATGGAAATAAAAGTGGATCACACAAATAGGCACATATTTATATGTGGCTAATAGAATTTGTTGTTGTTTTTGGTATTTATTGCAAAAATTTCTATGTGTGCAATGTTATATTTTATTGCTTTACTTACTGTAATTTATTTTATTACATTTTAGAGAACTAAATTACTATTAACAATTCTTTCTGAGGAAATTATATTAATGAACATATATTATATATTATATATATTATTGAAATATAATATAAAATATAAAAATTTGATAATATTTATATTTATACATATATAAATTTGTATGTTATTATTATTTTGTGTTTTCGTTGCACAATTGTGCATAGGTGAATATGATCCCACAAACTCAACTGCTCTCGATTGACTTGAGAGATTGCGGATTGCGACTCGATTTGTCAACTGTGAAAAAGTTGCAGAAAAACTCATTTCTCGTCGCAGTTGTCACTTTCTTATAAAATGCTATTCCTCAAGTGCTAGTGACTTTTTTGTGCTGTATGTAAAATAAAGACGTGCTGAAGGTATTTTTGACAGTTATCAGTGAAGAAATTAGAATTTTCGCTCAATCAATTCAGTTATTAAAAATAAAAAGTAAACAAAATGGCACTCATTAAATTAATTAATTTTCAATTTTATAATAATTTTTATATTAAAAAATAATATTAAATAATAATATTAAAAAAAAATTTTTATAGTTTTTCACAGTTCTTATAACATAAAATTTCGAGTACATTCTTTTCTTTTTCAATTTTTTTTATAAAAAACTCACTTTTGAGGAATAGCAGATACAAAATGTTAGCAATCTTTTGTGTACACTTTAGCTTGCACAGTTGAGGAATAGACTCCCAGATTTTTTCGTATATTATTACTCTACTAAGTTTATATTCATTACTTTAACAACTGACTTACTAAATATCAAAACCTTTTGATTTTAAAATCATTACACTTTTTATATATTTACTACCAAATTATAGAAAGTGATTAATATGTGTTTATAAATGTACAAAAAAATTTTAAATAGAATTTTAAAATATATGCATTATTATCGGTTATACTTTCAGTTTACTCGCAAAAACAGCCTCCTTATCCACCATATGCTAACTATGCCCAGCATCAGATATATCCCGGACCATATTATCATGGGTCTCAGTATGGCCCTTATAATTATTAAATTTCAACATTTTACTTAAACTGAATAAACTACAAAATAACTACTAAAATATTTAAGTCAAAGGCAATATAACGACATGTACTATGTTAGTTTTTATTGCAAGAAAACAAAGTCTTGATTTTTTGGTAATATGTCGCTCAACCATACGATTATAATCATATATAATTTGAATATAATATTCTGTTAGTTATGTTAATACAAATATTATATATACTTATATTATTATTGTTGTAATGTTTATAATTATTTAATTTTACAATTATAAGATCCAATAAAATAGCGCAACAAATGAATGCAGCAACATTTTGCTGTGATCAATTTTTATAAATGTAAAATTTATTTTTAAATTTATGTAATACTTTTTAGTCTTAAATATGTTTTTATACCGAAATGTGCTTTAATATAAAATAAAAAAATATATAATATACAAATTGCTAAATTTATTTAGATTGTACAATAGAAATTATACAATTATATGATGTATAATCCAAGATATATAAATGGAACAAAAAAGCGAAGGAGCAGTATTGGTTATAAAAGGTATATTCAAGTACTTTATAAGTGAAAAATAATAACACTAAAAATAAAATCACTAAACCCTCTTAGAATGTGATCTGTTTTAATTGCTGGTTTATGTATGTACTTCAATATTTTATTTAGATGCAAAATGAAGAATGGTCTCTATGATTACTCAAAAACTCAAATAATGAGAATTTTAATTTCTTTTTTATTTTTCAGATCTAATTATGTTAAATAATAATTTCATTTCTATGATGGATTTTAACTAAAATTGTAAGAAATTCTTTTTGGTAAATACAAAATGTTTTGTTTTGTTAATTATGAATTTACTAAGTACACAAATCCATGTGAAAAATTTTTGTAAAGAAGTTGAGCAGGACGTCCCAGTAGGAACCGTCATGCTGCTATCTTCCCTTACATTATACTTACATTTCAGGTGGTCATCATGACGACTTTCTTTCAGAATTTCCATGACTTGGTAAAGTGCAAAAGGTATCACATATGCGAAATTGACATTTGTAAAACTTCGTTTACGAATCAAAATGCACTTTACCATTGAAGCACGTGGTAAGTATGATAACGTAAACTAATTGTCATGAGCGATTCTTGTGCACGAAAAATATGAGGCTGATCATTTTCTGCCTTACGACCTGCTTCTAAAAGAAGGTCACCTTCTTCTGTAACTTACGATATCAGAAGGTTGTAAGGCTGTAACTGTTTTGTGGGCATGCTATTGCATTTTACGTTTCCCTGAAATAAATTTTTATAAAAAAAATAAAAAATCAATATATTTTTTTGTTTTAATTTATTAGAAAAATAAATAAAAATGACAAAAACAATATTTAATATAAAAAGATTAAATAAATTAAATATAAATTTAATATAAAACAACAACAAAAATTGATAAAAATATAATAATGTTACACAAATGGTATTCATTATGATTTAAATAATTATAATCATAAAAATAATAATTTAAAATTAATAAAAAATGTACTATAAAAATAAATTCATCGCATTTGGCATATACTCTTTTTCGGTATAGCCATCTTTTAGCAAGGCTTCTGTAAAGAAAAAAATATTGTTAGTTTTATTTCAGATATATAGATCTTTCAATTTTTGTATACCGAAGCCCTTAAATGCTTTTTTATTGCTTATCCCATGATAATACAGCTGCAGAACTAGCAGACCATCGGTATTTCGATGGAAGTTCTTGATCCCTTCAGAATGAATAATGGATTTCATTACATAACTTTTTGAAAAACCTTTTCTTTCAATAATTAGGAGAAAACCAAATATAAAAAGCACAATTGAAATAAAATCAAAAACGGAATGAGAAATAACTAATAAATTAAATTAAAACATAAATAAATAAATAAATAATAATAAATATTATTAAAATAATAAATAAACTGGAAACTATATAAATAAATGTTCCGCAAATCACTTAGATAAACGTAGAATAAGGGAATTTATAAATGAAAATATGAATATAAAAAAAATACTCAGGTTATAACCACAAAAAGATATATTGTTAATAAAAATCTGAAACTATGTGAAGAAAATTGTAAAAATGGATGTAAATAAAAGAATAAATACATATCTTAATGATCCTTCATCGTCTAACGTTGGAATTAATATTTCTTTTATATAAATTCCTAACAAAACATAAATAACGACTTAAAATGCGTTGCACAAAATTAAATGTAAAGAAACAAACTGCAGAAACGTCAAGAGAATTCGCCTCAAAGTGATGATTAAAAATTTGCTGAACGCACAAAAACAATAGAAAACGTTGTAACATATGTGCGTTACAGAAAAAGCTCGCCTGATTAGTATAAAAGCGCATTTTTGTAAGGAGGCAGTGAGTCTTATATGATCACTGAGTGACATTATATGTCAAACCATTAAATCAATCAAATAGTGTCTGACACAACGGCGGTTTTAAGCCAAGTGTATAATATATAAGAAATATACATATAATTGCTTACACACATTGAGGCGGTTTTAAGCCCATATACGTGAACGCTATTATATATATACTATGTTTACGCGAGCCTTAAAAGTTGTTCTAAGGCTCTTAAAATCGATTTTAAGATCGCGTAAACACCCTAAATTGAATTTTGCTTAAAAGCACGTTAAGCGTACTAAAAGTAGTTTAAAATCACTTTTAGTAAGATATGTCACTTTTAAACTTTACGTAAATACCTTAAAAGCAGTTTAAGGTTTGAATTGTCAGCTGTTAACAGTAAATAGGTACAAATAATTTGAATTTTATTACCAATAACACTAATTAAATAACTAAAAATATGAAGATAAATGGGAAATAAAAAGAAAAAATTGGATGAAAGAGGAGGAAGAATGTTTAATTAAAATATTTGCAGAAAAACAAATAATTAGACGGCATTGTTAGAGAGCAAAAAAATATAGAAAGGACACAATTTATGAAATTGTTCGCCAAAAAATGGACATCAGTGGCTGGTACAGAACTGTACAGCAAATAAAACAAAAGTGGCAGGTATTAAAAAGACAATACTCTGAAATAAAAAAAAAACATAATAATTGTAGAGGTAACAGTTGCATGGAATACCATCCATTGATGTGCGAAATACTTGACACAAGATCATCATCAGTTCTTGAAAATAACGGGTGCGATACTCTAGATATTGCACACCTAAATGGTAATTTATCATACAAGTAAATATCTTGTTACCGAACTTTAATTTTTTTAATTGCAGGCGAATGGAATGAAGAATATTTGAATGACAACGCAGATAAGCAGAATTCAGACTTTAAATGTAATTCTATAAGCACACTTGATTTACCTTCGACGTCCGCATTTTTGAACGCTCAAGATTTTAGTGCAGAAAATGTAAATAATGCAGATGAATCGAATTCGGAGTTAGGAATCAGTTGTTCACTAATAGATGTCTTGCCTTCGAAGTCTACTTTACCGAATACATCGTAAGTTCGAGTAGATCGATCGAAGGGCAGAGGAAGTTACGCAAAGGTGTTGTCCAGCTTTCATGAAAGTTGGTCTCGTGAATGGAAAAGTATGTGTTATGGTAGCCTATAGGTGTGTTAGGAAAGAAAAAAATATTTAAAGAAAGAAAATTTTTTTTTATAAACTAATCTAAATGAACTATATTATACGTAATAAATGTATTGACACAAGGGCATACCAAACACAGCAAGTACTCACCACAATTCGAGTTGAGCAAAGAGAAAGGGGATGGTGAGTTTATATAGAAGAGAGTTGAGTATAGACCGTAAGAGAAAGGAGGAGCATTGTATCCAAAGAATCCAAAGAATAACAGCGAGTAGCTGTTAAGAGATTTGGAATATATAGAGCGACTTAACAGACTTGCGAGGAGAATGAATTAAATCGTCAACCAGCTGCGAAGGATTTGAAAAACTGTTGATACAAAGTTTTTTTGATTTTTGAATTTTTGAATTTTTGAAAAGTTGAAACTATTTTTATGAGCACAAAGTTTTTTTACACAATTAAATCAATAATAAAAGTTGTGATGCAAAGTTTTTTTTTGAAAATTTTTTTTTGTGTGAAAATTTTAAAGTTGAAATGATTGCAAAATATTGATTGCAAATTAAATAAATATGCATGAAAATGCATTAAACCAGGACTTATAAAGAACACTTTCTTCCCTGGAACAATTAATGCAATCGAATAAATATACAATTAAATTCATAAAACCAGGAGCTGTAAAGAACACTTTGTTCCCTGGAAAAACTAGTGCCAATTAAATAATACACAAGAATACACAATCAAGTCAATAAACCTTGCCTTTGGAAAGGCACTTACGGTTAAATCAGCTAAGACAAAAGGAAAGCAACCAGTCATCCGTGCAGGAAAGATTATACCTGGACATCAGCAATTACTCATATGAGCCGCATCAATAACAAACATCAGTCGCCAGAATTTTTGAAAGCCACATCACAGCAGAGTATCACCCAATTATCTTTAATATCATCACCGAAGGACTCACAGATAAGTCACCTTTGTCAATGTATTTATAGCCAAATTCATTAACGTAAAAACTACGGTGGCAAAAGAAATGATCGCCTAAACGTTCATAGTCAGCGCGTGTGTTACCATAGATATCACTTTCAAAGATTAAATAATAACACAATTTTTTTTGTTGCCAATACACAGTCACTTAACTTAATTAACATTAAATAAATTGCATTAAAATTTTTTTTCTTGATCACAAATTGCTCTTGTTCGGTGCATATATAAACCCGTTGATATTATTTTATTTGCTTTGCGATTGCGTATATTTAACATATTTATTTAAGCGAATTGTACACATTTATTTTTTTTATTATTATTGCACATATCTATTTATTTATAAAATTATTAATATAGTTTGATCTGATATGATTTGATTTTGAATTATATATATATATTTCGTTAATATTCGATGGAATTAATTGAAAAGAAAAACACATTTTTTTATACATATATCCTAATTAAATTTAAGGTATATTAACATAAAAAAAAAAAAAAAGAACCCAAAATTAAGAGAAAGAATAAAGTAAGGGGTTACAATTTTTTTTGGTGTATTGTTATATAAACTTTAAGGTTCTTCGCCAGTTGACGTCAACAGCAGAGAGACCAGAGA